CCCCCCCCAATCTCTCATTATCCCCCCTCCCAATCTCTCCTTATCCCCCTCCCAATCTCTCCTTATCCCCCCATCCAATCTCTCCTTATCCCCCCATCTCTCCTTATCCCCTCATCCAATCTCTCCTTATACCCCCATCTCTCCTCATCCCCCATCTCTCCTTATTCCCCCCTCCCATCTCTCCTTATTCCCCATCTCTCCTATTCCCCATCTCTCCTTATCCCCTCCCCATCTCTCCTTATCCCCTCCCCATCTCCTTATTCCCCATCTCTCCTTATTCCCCAATCTCCTTATTCCCAATCTCTCCTTATTCACCCCATCTCTCCTTATTCCCCATCTCTCCTTATTTTACCCCAATCTCTCCTTATTCCCCAATTTCTCCTTGTTACTCCCCACCCAAATTTGTTGTAGCGTGGCCGAGCCCTCTATTGGTCCGAGGCTACAGGGAGCTTTTGTTTTCTGTACCCAGCCGGACTAACAGGAAGTGCACACTAAGTGTGCACTTCCTGTTAGTCCGGCCGGGTACAGGAGACAGATGCTCCCTGTACCCGCGGACCAATAGAGGGCTCGGCCACGCCACAGGGAGGGATTGACAGGAGGGAGCACTGAGCGCTTCCCTCCTGTCAGCCCCTCTCCTCAGGCTGCGCCCGGGCGGGCAAAGCTGCAGCCGCCTGAGGCTCTCTGCAGAGCGCTCGGGCGGCTGCAGCAGGAGGGGGGCCGGCGCCCCCTCCCAAGGCACCCCCCACCCTGCTGGCACCCGGGGTGGACCACCCCCCCCACCCCCCCTTTAGTACACCACTGCTACTGCTCAACCCGGGATTATTGTTGTTGGAACCCTTCCCGGGTAACCCCATTTTAATTAGTATAGCAGCAGTGGGACACAAAACTATCCATTAGCTCTGGAACCAGCTGGGTGTATAAACTGTACACCAATTCCTAACTAAACTTGTTTTTTTAATACTTATATTCCTATATACTATATACCAGGGTTTCCCAATTAATTTTTCCCTTGGAACCCTTTTACATGGTATGGCAAAACCTTGGAACCCCAACAAAAAAATGTGCGCCGTAGAGTAGCGCAGAGCAGCGCAGCGGAAACCTTTCAATGAGCAGAGTGTGATGTTCACTTTTGCTGGCAAATAATTTTTATATCTGGTTTAATTGTTGACAATTGTATTTGCATGTCTACAGTTGCGTCAAGTGGATTTCGATACTTTGTTTTTGTTGCAGAGTAAAGCGAGAAGCACATAAGTATGTGCTGGTGAATCACATAAGTACGTGCTGGCGAATGGCAACAGAACTTTGATTGCCGGCTTGGACAATTCTGGGTATTCTTTGCGTAAATCACCCCAAAAAGCAATAAGAGAAACTTCTTTAAATGTTTGGCTTAGTTGACTGTCAGAAGTTATATCGATCAGATTCTCAAAATCTACATCAGAAAAATTGGCTGTCTTGTCTTTTATGAATGGAATTCGAACCCAGTCATTATTGTTTTCATTCAAGAATGGAAAATACTGATTAATAGATGTGATTAAATGGCAAAGATGAACTACAATTTCATTGCAAATTTCATCTTCAAGTTCAATTTCTGATTCTTCAAGAACATCCTTAAGGGTTGGCAAAGAGTTCAAATTATTTTGCTCAACAGATGAGGTCCAAAAGTGCAGCTTACGAGAAATATTTCATCTCTTGCATTAAAAATATTAGTGTCTTTTCCTTGCAGTGATAAACATACGTCATTTAATTTTGTGAAAATGTCTGCAAGAAATGCTACCTTGGATAACCACAAAGTGTTTGTTAATCGATCAGATAATCAAAATTTGTGATCCAATTCAAACATTCTAACAAGGACTTGTCCACGTGATAGTCAAGGGACTTCTGAATGCAAAAGCAGAGCAGAGTGGTGACAACCCATATCTTTTTTTTTGAATACAGTTAAAGATGTTCTCACCAGTGGTATAAGTTCTCAAAGTTTCACACAGAAGCAATTCTTCTTCAATCTGTTTGTCAAAATCATATCTAACAAAAACCAACAAAACTGAAAGTTCGGCACCATATGTGCACTCATCTAATTGCAGCGAGTACCCATCACATTGATGCAGTTGAGAAATTAGTTCAGTATGGATGTCATCAGCAAGATCATGAATACGGCACAAAATTATGTTGTTGGAAAGCGGCACAGCTTCAATTTTTTTACTCAACTTCTCACTTAAAATACATGACACTATTTCTTTTGCACGTGGTTTTATTAGTGACTCCCCAATTGTGTGTGCTTCTCCTGCGAGTGCTTTGCGGTAACTCACTCTGTAAGAAGCCTCTGTGGCTTTTTCATTAGCATGTTGAATTTTTTTTTGCTCATAAATTGTTTACTCTTCTGATACTCATTTAGGTTTCGCTTAAAAAGTCAATGTCTATCTTTGTACTCTGCGTGGTTTTGCTCAAAATGATGACGTAATTTAGCAGGTGCCAATGAACTGTTTGGCAATATTTTATTGCAAATTACGCATTGTTCTTCAGGACAATCATTACTTCTGGCACTTGTGAATCCAAATGACAAGTAGCTGTCATCATATTTTCTCTTCTTTGTTTGAGAAGAAGATTGGCCGCATTGTGTGCTTTTCCATTTATTTTTTTTTGACTTGTCACTTGTCTCTGCTATTTGAGGAACAGTAGATACAACTATTTCGGCCATGTTTTCAGGATTTTTACTTGTATCTTCTTCCTCAGTTTCTATAAGTGCCGAACAGGTAGAAGTAGTAATAAATTTTCTCTGAAGAGTTCCCTGCTTTAACCAGTTTTCCAAATTCATGGCTGTTTATTGGTAAAAAAAAAAAAAGATTTGAACACTTTAAAAAAATACAGATCTCACAACCTGACTGAAAAAGGATGCTGATTTTGATAACGCTCTTAGAAAGAACTGAACGTATGCAGAATTTTGGAGTTACACGTGGAGCAAAAAGATTTGAACACTTTGAAAAAATACAGTTAACAGTTTTTGGCCCCTGACAGAATCTTTCAATGTCCCTGACAGAGCCTTTTAATGTCCCTAGCAGAGAATTTCAGTGCCCCTGACAGAGTATTTCAATACCCCTGATAGAGCCTTTATTATTATTATTATTGCCATTTATATAGCGGCAACAGATTCCGTAGCGCTTTACAATATTATGAGAGGGGGGGGATTTAACTATAAATAGGACAATTACAAATAAACGTACGGGAATAATAGGTTGAAGAGGACCCTGCTCAATCGAACTTACATTCTATAGGAGGTGGGGTGTAAAACACATTAGGACAGGAATTTGCAGTCAAACAAGGTGGGCTGCTCTTTAGGAGAGAGCAAGAGACAGGTATGGGAGGTAGAGGTTTGTCTTGGAGGCTATAAGCTTTCCTAAAGAGATGGGTTTTAAGGCACTTCTTAAAAGATGCAGGACTAGGGGAGAGTCTGATGGTGGTAGGCAGGCTATTCCATAGGAAGGGAGCGGCCCGCGAGAAGTCCTGCAAGCGTGAGTTGGCCGTACGGGTGCGGACAACGGACAGGAGGTGGTCACGGGCAGAGTGGAGAGACCGAGAAGGGACATACCTAAAGATCTGTGAGGAGATATAAGAGGGGCTAGAGTTGTTCAGTGCTTTATAGGTGTGAATTAGTACCTTGAATTGACTCCTATAGCATACAGGAAGCCAATGTAAGGACTGGTGGAGAGGTGAGGTGTGATAGAAACGACTAGAGAGGAAAATCAGTCTGTTAGCAGCGTTCATTACGGACTGTAGCGGTGCAGTACAGCTTTTGGGAAGACCAATCAGGAGAGAGTTACAATAGTCCATGCAGGAAATTACTAGAGCATGGACAAGTTCCTTGGTAGTATCTGGTGCAAGAAAGGGGCGGTATGTGGCTAGTTATGTTGGTATGTGGCTAGTTATATTGGTATGTGGATAGTTATGTTGGTATGTGGCTAGTCATGTTGGTGTGTGGCTAGTTATATAGCTATGTGGCTAGTTGTGTTGGTATGTGGCTAGTTATATAGCTATTTGGCTAGTTATGTTGGTATGTGGCTAGTTATATAGCTATGTGGCTAGTTATGTTGGTATGTGGCTAGTAGTATTGGTATGTGGCTAGTTATGTTGGTACGTGGCTAGTTATATAGCTATGTGGCTAGTTATATAGCTATGTGGCTAGTTATGTTGGTATGTGGCTAGTTATATTGGTATGTGGCTAGTTATGTTGGTATGTGGCTAGTTATGTTGGTATGTGGCTAGTTATATTGGTATGTGGCTAGTTATATTGGTATGTGGCTAGTTATGTTGGTATGTGGCTAGTTATATAGCTATGTGGCTAGTTATATTGGTATGTGGCTAGTTATATTGGTATGTGGCTAGTTATGTTGGTATGTGGCTAGTTATATAGCTATGTGGCTAGTTATATAGCTATGTGGCTAGTTATATTGGTATGTGGCTAGTTATGTTGGTATGTGACTGGTAATGTTGGTATGTGGCTAGTTATATTGGTATGTGGCTAGTTATATAGGTATGTGGCTAGTTATGTTGGTATGTGGCTAGTTATGTTGGTATGTGGCTAGTTATGTTGGTATGTGGCTAGTAATGTTCATATGTGGCTAGTAATATTGGTATGTGGCTAGTTATGTTGGTATGTGGCTAGTTATATTGGTATGTGGCTAGTTATGTTGGTGTGTGGCTAGTAATGTTGGTATGTGGCTAGTTATGTTGGTATGTGGCTAGTTATGTTGGTATGTGGCTAGTTATATTGGTATGTGGCTAGTAATGTTGGTATGTGGCTTGTTATATAGCTATGTGGCTAGTAATATTGGTATGTGGCTAGTTATATTGGTATGTGGCTAGTTATGTTGGTACATGTGTAGGAATGGATTTGTAGCACGTGGAGTCACTAAGGAGGGAAAGGCTTGGCATCTATTGGTTTCAATGTCGTTTCCATGGATACTGCTGCCTTGCCCTGTCCTGACGCTGATTGGTCGAGATCCCCCGCAGGGCACTGTGCGCTGTCCAAACAGAACGCAGGAAGCAGAGACCTCCGCCGTAGCCAATTGGCTGCCTCGGCCGCTGTGACGTCATCGGAAGAGGGGGTGTGGTTTGTTGCCGGAAGTGAAGGAACCGGCGGGGAGATGGCGCCGAGCTCGAAATCAGAACGGGGCGGGAACCGGAAGTGGGGCCCCAGAGACCATGTAATCCGCCAGCTAGACCGAGTAAAGGTATCGGATACCTCCCGGGGCCGCGGGAGACATTATATCCTGCTGAATGGGCGGAAAGCAGCTCTCCAGGGCCCGGAGCAGGGCTGGGGCAGCCAGCTAACCTGAACCCGAGTCATACAGCTGGGGGGGAGACTGGGGAGGGTTAATGGGGCCCTCAGACAGGGGAGGGTTAATGGGGCCCTCAGACAGGGGAGGGTTAATGGGGCCCTCAGACAGGGGAGGGTTAATGGGGGCCCTCAGGCAGGGGAGGGTTAATGGGGGCCCTCAGACAGGGGAGGGTTAATGGGGGCCCTCAGACAGGGGAGGGTTAATGGGGCCCTCAGACAGGGGAGGGTTAATGGGGCCCTCAGACAGGGGAGGGTTAATGGGGCCCTCAGCAGGGGAGGGTTAATGGGGCCCCTGGGGCCCTCAGGCAGGGGAGGGTTAATGTGGCCCCTGGGATCCTCAGGCAGGGGAGGGTTAATGTGGCCCCTGGGATCCTCAGGCAGGGGAGGGTTAATGTGGCCCCTGGGATCCTCAGGCAGGGGAGGGTTAATGTGTCCCTTGAAACTATGTTTATAAAAAAAAAAAAAAAAGGGTTAATCCTAGAATGACCTGGCACCCAGACCACTTCATTAAGCTGAAGTGGTCTGGGTGCCTAGAGTGGTCCTTTAAAGGGCTGGGGCTTTCCATTTCACCCATCCCAGCAGTGTCCATGGCAGATCATCATGGGAAATGTAGTCCACAATAGATGGAGCATCAGAGGTTAGCAATCAGTGGATTACAAAAATGTGATGCTGAAAGGGAACACGATGGTCACCAAAACAGCTTTAGCTTAAAGCAGCATTATCACCCCATATTAAAAATGAGTATTTCATACTGATTTTGAAATACTTATTATGACTGTGACACTGAAATACCAACCCTTTCAATATGTCTGTATTTCTCCTGCATCTGACATTTCCTCTCACACTTACTTTCCCCTGCGGCAAACGAAACAGTGGCGATGTCACAGTCAGGAGCCTTTGCTAATTCGGTTTTAAGGCTGCACTATCATCCCCCTGAAAAATCTGTATTTTATTCACTTAATTACCAACCCTGTCAATAGATATACAGCGATAACCTAAGGACTACTTTGTCTCTGTGTATTTCCTATCCCTGACACTTCTAGACACTAGGCGGAGTTACCGCCGTCTAGACGTGTAAGTCTGATGGCTGGGGGGAATTTGCTTTACCCATGTAGGGTCACACGGGATCCTCCTTAGACCTCAATGCTTTACTCTCGTGCATACGCGGGAGTTCAGCATTGACATGCGCTCCTGGCACTGAAGCACACCTGTCAGGAGGAAATGGTGGCGCTCACGAGAGACCGGTAAGGAGAACTTGCCTTTTCCTAAACATTAGATCTGCCTCTATAGGAAATATTTAGGAAGGCTGTATGTCACATGCAGAGAGGTGTTACTAGGGCTGTATAAACAAAGTGATGTAACTCCTAAATGGCAAAGAATTGAACAGTGAGACTGCAGGGCGTGATCTGTACACCAAAACTGCTTCATTAAGCTAAAGTTGTTTTGGTGCTTTTGATAACTCTTTAAATGGGAACTGTAAACACCATATCCAGCCTTTTGACTTCAAGTGATTATTGTGTTAATATGTTACAGATGCTGTCCTCTAGTTCTGGATCAAATCGTTTTCATGTTTGACAAAAAACTAAAGATCCTCCAGGAACACTTGGCCTACGCTGTCCCCTGCCATATTTCTAATGCAGAATGTAAACAATATATTGCCTAATGAAGGGACAAATGTGCTTATCTCACTTTCTTATAGCCCATGCTATTTTAGGGCATTACGCGTCTTCATCTCCCCTTATATTTCAGGCCTCTGAATTATATGCTGCGGTCACCACAACATTAATATAATTCTAATAACATCCAGGAACTGTATCCATTAATTATTCACCTCCTTGGCTGACATTGTCAGAATTGGTCATCTCCGTCAATCCAATGCTTTCCCATAGAAAAATCATTGGATTGGCTGAGATTGTCAAGGAGGCAGGGCCAAACACCGGCTTGATCTAATCAGCATCTCCTCATAGCGATGCATTGAATCAATGCATCTCTATGGGGAAAGTTCAGCGGAGACGATGAATGTCAGTCACACGGTGCAGCAGTGGCCACCATAGGTATCCCTAGGGAGCAATGTAAACACTGCCTTTTCTCTGGATGGCTGCAGGGACATACTATACTCACCAGTATAACTACATTAAGCTATGGTTGTTCTGGTGACTATAGTGTGCATTTGATTTATATTTGAACTGCAGCAATAAGGTGAGTGTGACAGCCTTAAAAAAGACACTTCAAGCACCCTACCAAATGCAGTCCAATATTATGGTTGGAGTCTATGGGTGTTGTCTTATGGTTTTGTTTTTTTTGGCAAACCTTTTGAGAGCAATGTTAAAACAAAGGCCTTTGCAGGCACCAAGGCTTCTTTCCTAGTTGCATTTATGGTGGGCCAAAAATCAGAGTATGATTTGACAGGTAAATAACTCATTTTCTTAGCTATTTTTTTTGTTGCAGGTACATATTAGCCTTGTGAGATTCCTTATGGGTAATTTCATGAAGGAGTGACAAGTAAAAATGAAGCGAGATATCAGGATATTATTGAAAAGTTTTATGTCCTGTAGTGGAAAATCGTGGTTTTAACTGGACGGCTATTGCCCTTACAGACAGAGCCACAATGGACATCCTCGGACAACTATTTCTCAAGAAATTCCCAGATTAAGTGGCCACCACGTTCGCCTGGCCTTTTAGCTTCTGATTAATTTCCATGGGGATACGGGAAGGAACATTTATCTGCAAACAAACCGCAAACACTTGGGTGGTTCAAGGGAATATCCATAACTAATGTTATGAGCAATGCAATGGAAATAGACTGCAAGGTGGTGAATGGAGCAAATTTAAAATGTCACCTTCTGTACCTAGCAAGACAAATCTCCACGTTACGCTTTTATTGCATGTAATATCATTAAAATTGGTTAGATAATAAAAGTTATTGACTCCTCAAACCATCTGAAATTTGGCTCATCCTGCACTTCCACATTGTAAATTTACCTTGTTTCCAACCTGGACAGCTGTGGACTGAGGAAATAATTGATGTTGGGGATGTGGAGAAATACATATTAGCAATGTGGCTGCAGAGAGTGTTGATACCGGGGCAATTTCTGGTTCTATCAAAACACCTAAATTTTTTGACAAAAATAATTAAATACAAAAACTAGTGAGAACACTGCTCATAGCCTTTTCATCATAACCGCTATTCTGCAGTGATTATGGTGCATAGCCTGCCACTACCGTTAGACCATTTCAAACACACTCCAAGTTAGAAGTAGATTCCTGTTTTTAATTTGTTACAAACTATGTTCTTTGCTTTCCTTCCCCAATGTAATAAAATACATTGATTTAATTACCTTGTTACTATGACTGGCAGTCCTCTGCTGCTCCGACCCTGACTGAAACTATCATTATGATCTCATTCAATGCACCTCACGTGGGGCTTCATGTAGAGCTTTTAGATGCTGAATGTTGATCCTGCAAAGATTGCAAGAAGCCCCTCTAGTGAATGACAGCCACAAGAGGTGACTTTAGTAAGCATTGCCTTATCTTATAAAAGGCAGTGTTTACACTACTGAGACTGCAGGGAAGGACAGTCTCTTTACACCACAACCACTACGTTAAGCCGGAATAATTATTCTGCTGCTTAGAGCGTTATTTTAAATGTGGACCTGTATTTTTACCTGACGAACTCTTTGCCTGCTGGCTGTGCTCCTCTGTTTTAAATTTTACACCCCCCCACAATTCCCACAAATGGAGGAGGCAGCGAGGTAGACCATTGTATGCCCCCATGCTATAGCTGCCCAGTCACAATTCTATTTTCCTTGAACCCCTAGTATAGTGTATCCCTAGTATATTGATATGACAGTCATATTGTCCACATTTGCTTTTTAAAATTAATTTGTTTTTTCTTTGTGAAGTCTATCAGCGACCACTGTAGAAAGTACAAAGTTAATCCGTGCACTGCTGATGGTTATTTATTTTTTCTGTGCAGCCAGCACACAGTCAAAAAGCAAGTGGATTTATTTACCAAATTTGCCTGTCTCCAGAAAAGATCCATCTGAAATGCGGTATTCAGTTTTTGGTAAATACGTTGATCCAATGTTGTATAAAACATTCCCATGCTATCGGTACTTAGTTTGCTCACTTGCAGACTTTGCCTTCTCTAAACATGTTTTGAAGTAATTTGCTAAATCTTTAAATGGTTTCTCCAACTGCTTTTAGACGTGTTCACGGTGGTATGAGTCTGTGCGGCATTTCTGCCTAATACGAGGGGTGTAACTAGCCCATAGCACAGGCCACTTAGGCTCTGCTCTGGGCTGAATAATATCCGTTCTGTCAAAAATGACATCTGTTTTCTGCACGCTGGTATCCTACATTATGAGCTTCTCCCTTGCAGTGCTGCCTGCAAGGTGAAGCCGTGATCTTCCCTCCCTGCAATGATATTTTAATTTCTACAAATACCCTCCCCTACATGGCTCTGAGTGTGCGCATGCACTCTGAGCTGGTACAACAGCACAATCAAATTTTTCTCTTTAATCTTGACGTGGGCTTTGTCAGCGCTGGATTCCGGGTAAGTTTATACTTAATTTGGAGATTTATAAAAGGGGGACCTAGTTAAAGGAATACTATAAGCAACAAAATAACTTAGTAAAGCTGTTTTGGTGTATAGATCATGCCCTGGAGTTAAATCACTTTGTTTATACAGCCCTCCCTGCATGTTAGTTACACAGCCTTTCTAAAATCTTCCTGCAAGGATAAAGCTAACGTTTAAACTTTCATTATTGCACAGTCTGTTCAATGTAAAATGTATTTTATTTCCTTCTCTGCTCATAGCCTTCTAGATCCTGTAGGAGCCTCCTGTATATGATTTAAAGTCCTGTTTACGGACCAGGATATATAAACTTATAAAGCAAGTTAACATCTGATTAAAAATTAAACCATTTTGTTTTCATGCAGGCTGTGTCAGTCACAGCTGGGGGAGGTGTGACTAGGGCTGTATGAACAGAAACAAAAGTTATTTAACTCCTAAACAAAGAGTTGTCATTAATGGTAAATTTTCAAGCAGGACAGAGGTGGCAAGTGGTGTCCCTCAGGGGTCTGTTCTGGGACCCCTTCTATTTAACGTTTATAAATGATCTTGAAGACAGCATTGAAAGTCATGTTTCAGTGTTTGTATTATTTTACAAAGTTTTGTGTCATCTGCAATGTGAGCAAGATATTACTTTGCTGCAGAGGGATTTAGATAGACTGGGGGACTGGGCACTCAAATGGCAGATTAAATTTAATGTTGAAAAATGCAAAGTTATGCACTTCGGCGTAAAGAATACACAAGCAACATATATTCTTAATGGTAGCGAATTAGGGATAACAACACATGAAAAGGACTAGGGAATTGTTATAGACAATAAACTATGCAACAATGTGCAATGTCAATCAGCAGTGGCCAAGGCCAGTAAGGTATTGTCATGCATGAAAAAGGGCATTCATTCTCGGGACGAGAATATCATTTTGACTCTTTATAAATCACTGGTAAGACCCCATATTGAATATGCTGTGCAATTTTGGTCACCTGTTCTAAAGAAGGATATTATGGCACAAAATTAATAAAAGGAATGGAACATATCGGCTATGAAGAAAGGTTAACAAATTTAAACCTATTTAGTTTAGAAAAACGTTGCCTGAGAGGGGATATGATAACATTATACAAATATATTCGGGGCCAATACAAACCATTGTGTGGAAATCTATTCACAAACCGGACCTTACATAGGACACGAGGCCATGCGTTTAGACTGGAAGAAAGAAGATTTCGTCTAAGGCAAAGGAAAGGTTTTTTTACTGTAAGAACAATCAGGATGTGGAATTCTGTGCCTGAAGAAGTGGTTTTATCAGAGTCCATACAGATGTTCAAACGGCTACTAGATGCATACTTGCAGGAACAGAATATTCAAGGATATAATCTTTCAATGTAGGGTAATAACTGCTTGATCCAAGGATAAATCTGACTGCCATTCTGGGGTCAAGAAGGAATTTTTTTCCTAGCTTGTTGCAAAATTGTGCTTCAAACTGGGTTTTTTTGCCTTCTTTTGGATCAACAGCAAAAAAACAAATGTGAGGAAGGCTGAACTTGATGGACGCAAGTCTCTTTTCAGCTATGTAACTAAAAATGGCAGTGAATATAAATATATTAATATCAATTTAAAAGAAAGCATCATATTAAAACAAAAAAATAGTTTTATAAGTGGCTTTCAGTGTGTTATTCAGTGGTGTGAATTCCAAAGAAATGACGGCTCCTCTTTCAAGCAGGTCTGTTTTGGTTTGTTTCTCTCTTTTTACACAGGATAGTTTTCCTTAATCTAGTTATGTTGACTGTTTTTTGTAAAATCTTCCATCTAAATGAAACTGAATACTATAGTGTCCGGAACACAAACATGTATTCCTGATACTATAAAGGTTAAATCACTATTTAGGTCCCATAGCAAAGCATTGGGAGGCTATTGCGCGTGAGCGGCAAAACGTCTCTCTGCGCCATTCAGCATCTCATAGAGATGCTTTGAATCAGTGCATGTCTATGGGGAACGTTCAGCGCCTGCATGCAGAGCGTGGAGACGCTAAACATCATGAAGCACCTCTAGTGGCTGTCTGAATGACTGCCACTGGAGGTATCCCTAGGCAGTAATGTAACACTGCCCTTTTCTATTAAAAGGCAGTGCTTACAGCAGAAACTGCAGTTGTTCTGGTGGCTATAGTGTCCTTTCAATATGTAAACATTGCCCTTAAGTTTGTGATCGTAATATCAGAAAGTTATTGCCTTCATCGTGTGTAACATGTCATCCTTTTCTCCAGATCACAGGTCAACTTTCATCCCGGCTGTTTAGAAAACTACCACCTCGGCTGTGTGTGTCTCTGCGCAACATTGTGGATGAGGAGTTCCTGCAAAAGGGGTACTTACACATATTACTATTTCATTTGAAAGTGTTCAGATGTTGAGGGGTGTCTTTATTGGCTCAATCTGTTTGCTTTGGATCACAGCAGTAATATGTGATGTCTGACTGTTAATGGGACACTTTTTATTCGCAAATAAAAAAGAAAAATCACTATTTAAAAGACATACCCCTAATGATAGCATACATGTAGGTTGGGGGGGGGGGCAAAACACAGCACATGCACATTACTCACCCGTAACCAGCAAATGTCTCACACATTACAAACAACCAAATAACCATGTGAATGTCCAGCGTCTACGCAGGGACCTTAAATCATTTTGAGTGTCTGGACAAGTAAATTGGGCTACTGGTTTAATCCCTTGGATAACTAGATAGACTCCTGAATCAGGAACTTCTCATTCTGGTAAATGGGGTCTGGTCCTTTCCATCAGAAACTGAGATTTATGGGATATTTAGTACATCCCCCAGATGTAACTGCTGGATAAGCTGGTAGCAGTTATAATGAATCTTTTGCCAGCATATTGACAACACCATTAAAACCCGAGCATTCCCAGTTTGGGCCCCCTCAGAGAGATATCTTTACCCATTTGGAAGGAGAATTAAGTGTCATGGGTTCACACACATTCTCTCCCACATTTACACGCACACTGTCACTCCATGCTGCAGACAAAATGGGAATCTAAAAACAAAATGCATTTTGGTGGTGACCTCCACCTAACACTACCATAGTTCTCTTTCAGGCTACTACTGGGGTTTGTCTAGGAAGCCACGAGGGATTCTGCACTTAATAGCTGCTCCCAGAAATAAGGCCAACAAAAATAATGCAATTTAGCAGAGGCTTTAACATTCCTATGGAATTCCTCCTCAGTTCTACGTTCAGTCTTGTGTCTATTTACCAATAGATTAACTCCAACACTAAGGAAAACTGTCCACTGTTAGCCTTATCTGGTAAATAGTGATGTTCTTATTTATCTAATATATCTCAATTGTTCTGTACCTTCTATTTACTAGCATTGCAGTAATTCTTGCTTTTAAGATGGAATATCTGGTTCTCTGCAAAGGGAACCTGTGAAATGTCAAACTCTGTAGGTTTTGGGGTTCGTATGATTAGGAGCCACTTACTGAATATCTTTCTCTGGTCCTTATTTCGGACCTTTCCCACGATTCCTACTCTTTCCTGCCACCCTTTCTTGTACGTCCTTGTTTATTTCCCTTTCTTTCTGCTGCCTCACCCCTCCTCCTCTCTCGGCTCACCCCTTTCCCTTTTGTTAATGTTTTTTTCTCGTTTTCAGTCACATCTTCCTGGGTTTCACCAAGTGTGGCCGTTTCGTGTTGTCATACACCAGCGATGTCCTTGATGATGATTTTTCTTTCTACTCGTATCACCTGTACTGGTGGCAGTTTCAAGTGCACAGCAAACTGCGTCTGGTGCGTCTCCCCTCCTACTAATATTATCATTGCCAGTTTCCCCTGTATAACACCTCTTTCCAGCGCTGTTATTCTCCCAATAAACTCCAAATCCTTTGCTATTTACAACCCACTTTCATAACTTCTTTTTGTGTTCCCTTTTATACCCCTATCTTGTTTGTTTTTTTGCTTTTTACTTGAATACCCCTGACTTCATGTCTTCTCCTCAGGTGCGACAGGTCCGCCTGTTCCAGGATGAAGAAATCTACAGTGACCTTTTCCTGACAGTCTGTGAGTGGCCAAGTGACAGCTCCAAAGTTATTGTGTTTGGCTTCAAGTGAGTCTATCTTACCGCATTGTAGTTTATTCCACCCTGCCGTTGCTTTCTCCACTTTCTTCCTGCTTGTGGTTTTACCCCGTATCCGTTTTTTCCCCTTCTTGCCTCCCTGACATAGTTGTACATTTCCCTACGTTTGTATGATCTGTCTAACCCATCTCAGATCTTCTGTCTTGTTCACACTGTGATTCTCTCCACCTTGCCCCTGGTGGAGTTATTTTGCTGACCCATCCTCCCCTTAGTATTTGACTGTGTGAGTCATATTGCTCCGTACTCTTTGTATAATTCATCTTTCCCTCTGAATACCTATAATGTACTTTTCCGACTTTCTTTTATTCCAGGATCTCCAACTATGTTGTCCTTACTGGCTTTCTTCTCTTTTATTGATTATCTCTTCTCCATTTGACCTTGTTGTCCTTACTGACACATTACATCTTGGAATATCTGACTCTATTCACATTGATTCTCTTCTCCTAGTACTTCTGGAAATGGGATGTTAATGAATATGATGAGTGATGAAAACCATCGAGATATATATATCAGCATTGTGTCTGCCCCTCCAACATCACCTTGTACAGACTGCCGGGAGTCCACATCCGGTACGTACGTACGTACACACCTATGTCACCTGCAGAACCTTCACATTTTCTCCCTCTTGCATTAGACTTGAGTCAGGCACTTCACCTCCAACAGCTATTCCCCCTCCTCGAATATCGTCATTCCGTCTGCATTGCTAATGTAATTCACACTAGGTTTTACCTGTGAGGAAATTATTCTATTTGCTGTAATAAAAACATAACATCGAGAAGTGTCTTGTTTTGGGGTTTAGTGTCTGTCTTTTCCTCTAGGTCCGTGTCTTCTACACAGCTTCATGCTGCACACCAAGTACCAGGTAGTCTATCCTTTCCCCACCTTCCAGCCAGCCTTCCAGTTGAAAAAAGATCATGTAGTTTTGCTCAACACAAGCTATTCTTTGGTTGCCTGTGCTGTGTCCGTGCAACAAGCAGGTAAAATATAGCCTCATTTTCCTGCTGTAAACATGCTGTCTTCTTTCCATGCAGGGTTACTCTTTTTCCATGGAGGTGTCATTAACAAGCTTTCTCAAATCTTTATTTTAGGGAATACTGAACCCAACCAAATTTTGTACAGCAAACAAAGCCAACATCGAATTACGTGCAGCTGTTCATCCTCCTCTTCTAGTCCATCGTCCTCTTCTGCTAGCAGTCGCTCCCCACTTATGCCTGACCAGTTTTGCTCTAGTCCCCCCATCACTCCACCAGCCGTCACTCGCGCCAGAGAGTTTGTGGCTGGCATCTTTCGTCGTGCCCGAGAAGCCTCCGGATTGGAATCCCAAGAAAGGGGAGAGAAGGCTGGGCCAAGCACAGAAAGTCCACCACGAACCTCTGACCCAGAGTCCCCCATATGGCATCGTCCTTCCAGTGAGGGGCATGGTCGGCCAAACACTGGCCATACTGAGGAACCTAGTTATGTTAATTACACACGGCTTCGATATTTCCTTGGAGAAGTGACGGAGACTGACCAAGAAAGTGGTGAGAGCTTCAGTGGGAACATCTTGGTAAACTCAGAGTAAGATGGAAAGAAAGGGGGTTAAAGAGGTGAAAAAAGATAACTAGGTTCCCATGGTGTGGTATGTGTGGGGGGTGTTTAAATCAGTGACGGCGTGGAAACTGGATTAACTCTTTGTCTCTATAGAATATGAAGATGACAAGATTTCACTGCCATTCCTGGTCACTGATCTAAAAGGGCGTCATCTAAAGCCAATTAATGAAAAAGCTTCATTCCAGGTGAAACAATGTCCTTTAAACTAGTTTTATCTCTACAATATCTCATTAATATCAATTACGTGAAACCACTGTTCTTGTACTAAATTCCCCCCCACCAGGGCCAGCACCTGAACGTAGAGCAGTTGACTTTGGATTTTGAGTATGTGATCAACGAGGTGATCAGACATGACGCTTCCTGGTCCCGGCAGTTCTGCTCTTTTAGTGATTATGATATCGTCATCCTGGAGGTGAGGAATACAGTCGTATGGGTTTGCATTTTAATAGATTTTGTGTTAAATGGAAGTGGACGTTTTATACTCTTCAAAATGTGAGCAGGATGGGTGAATAGGATCAGAACATAAATCTACTAGTAAATCTTAAAAATTATAGTGAGGGTGAGAGAGAGAAAAATCCACCGAAGATTTAGAATAAATGTATGACGTCCATAGCCAGACAAATAAAATGTCTCGATCAAGCCAGACAAAGCCAGATCAAGCCAGACAAACACACACACACACACACAGTCAGACACAAACACACACACACACACACACACACACACACACACACACACACACACACACACACACAGTCAGACACAAACACACACACACACACAGTCAGACACATACAGAGACACAAACACAGTCAGACACAACACACACACACAGTCAGACACAAACACACACAGTCAGACACAGTCAGACACAAACACACACAGTCAGACACAAACACACACAGTCAGACACAAACACACACAGTCAGACACAAACACACACAGTCAGACACAAACACACACAGTCAGACACAGTCAGACACATACACAAACACACACAGTCAGACACATACACAAACACACACAGTCAGACACATACACAAACACATACAGTCAGACACACACACACACACACAGTCAGACACACACAAACACAGTCAGACACACACACAAACACACACACAGTCAGACACAAACACACACATTAACTTTTTTTTTTAAATTTAAATCTCCCCCCCCCCAACCTCCTTACCTTTGGGAGTGCTGGGGGGGGTCTCTCTCTCCCTGGTGGTCCGGTGGCTGCAGGTCGGGCGGGCAGCGCAGGCGGGCAGCCGGCGAGGGAGCACTTCCCATGAGCTGACTGCTCAGCTCCCTCGCGCGTCGGCTGCAGAGTGAGGCTGGGAACCGGAAGATGATCTTCCGGTTCCCAGCCTCACTCTGCAGCCGATGCGCGAGGGAGCTGAGCAGTCAGCTCATGGGAAGTGCTCCCTCGCCGGCCGCCCGCTCGGGATGTCAGTTAGCCGCAAGGCTAACAAGGCATCTGCCCTGGGCATTTGGGGGGCGGTGTTTTTTGCCACCCCCTGAAAAATGCCGCCCAAGGCAAATGCCTTGTTTGCCACGCGGCTAATACGTCCCTGATTGTACCATTGCATTATTGTATTGCCTCTGCTTCTGTTATTGTGCTTATTTTTTGTCTTTTTCACTATAGTACTTTTTGTTCATAATAAAGTCAGATTTTTGACTGTTTGAAGTTGTTATAGTGTGCATTCTATATTATATAGATACAAATCAATTCAGTCACTAGCTTTTATCATTTATCTTAAAGGGACACTATACCAGAACAACTACAACTTTAATGTAATTGTTCTGGTGAGTATAGTATATCCCTGCAGGCATTTTCATGTAAATTCATTAGAATTGATTATCTCAGTCATTCCAATGCTTTCCTGTGGGAAAGCATTAGATTGGGTGATATAGTCGATTTCGATGATCTCAGCCAAGGAGGCGGATCGGTGTTGTGGGGGCAGAGCCACGCAGTACTGGAATAAAATAACTTTTTACTATATTTGAATGAGGTCCGGGGGCCTAAGTAGTGTTTTTAACACGATACGGTCAGGAATATGTGGTAGTGTTCCTAAGCCTAAAGTGTTCCTTAAATCTCGTGTTCACATTTGTGGCTTTTGTTTTTTGTTTTTATAAACCATTTTTTTTCCCTCTTTGCTTTACTCAGATGTGTCCTGAGACCAACCAGGTCATCATAAATATTGGCCTTCTTCTCCTTGCATTCCCAGGTCCCCAAGATGAGGGTCAACTGAGGTATGTTCCATTAACAGCCTCACTTCCTCTTTGCTTTCCTTCTTTATAGTCTTACTGTGAACCAATTGGTCTGTCTGTCTTCTGTCTTAGGCCCAAGACCCATCACACCAGCCTGAAGGTTGCATGGGATCTACATACAGGGATCTTCAATACTCTCAGTGTGGGTGACCTCATTGAGGTTAAAGGTCAAACAAGGTAAACCTTCATATTCTGCTGACTTTTAAAAAAACAAAAAATCCTAATTCTGGCTTATAGTTAAATTCCACTATCTCCCTTCCTTCCAGTGGAAGCGTTTGGAGCACGTATCGAAAGAGCTGTGTTGACACAGTTATGAAATGGCTGGTCCCAGAGAGTGGTGTGCGTTATGTGAATCGGATGACCAACGAGGCTCTACATAAAGGTGAGTAGAATTTCAATTACTCAGGTTACTCAGTAATGGAATTCTGCATTGTAATACATCAACCCTTATTTTTCCCACTCTCCCCAGGCTGCTCTCTCAAGGTGTTGGCTGACAGTGTCCGATACACATGGATTGTGCTGTAATCTGGTGTGTCCAGGTTTTATTAACGCTACCTCTGTGCAAGTCTTGTGGTGCATCTCAAAGGGGGGGTGGGGGCGGGGACACAACAGGAGCTTATCACCTTGCCTTGTTATACTGCCATCTAGTGACATTACTGTGCACAGCAATGATGCAATGGGGACTGTTAGGAGACCAGATGTATTTGCATGATTTATGAAGATTTTGCATATCCTGGAGCAGGATACATGAGTGGTTAAGATGTTGACCTGCAACATTCCTTGCTAACGTGATCTATCCCTTTTCATGCTACGGGGATAATTTCACAGCAGAATACATTTATTTTAATTTTTGTCTTACCAGAACAAAGCAGAGTTCTTATTTTTTTAATAGCATGTGTAGATATATATGTATAAAATTACACCACCCATTGTCCTATGTTGTGAAAATAAATCACATTATTTCTGATTATGGTAGTCTTATTTTAGCACTGTGTCTCTGAACCTCATCTAGCTCTTGTATGAGAGGAATGTGTAGGAAACGCACAGAATTACAGGCAAATAGTTGTTTGCTTCATAAAAATTCCAGAAAACATTTTAGTAAGTGCACAAGAGTTACTAAAGTGACGCCTCATTAACAGCTCTGTGTCCTTTTGTAGCACAATTAAAGGTGCTGTCTAAGCAACACAGTTTTTTTTCCCTATGTATTTTCTAGCCTATAGACTAGGTGCCTGAGTTCTTCTGCATGCTTCCTATTGTATACTATTTATAGAGGGGGACTGTTTTTCAGCATTGTGCACCTTAATCGTACATCATCTGCTCTTCATTCTAAAATAATAATGCCCTTCTTATCCGTTCCTCCTAACCTGCAGTGTTTCTCCAATAGCACAGGCTTGTGGGAGTTGAACTGCAAAGCTGGGAATGTATTTCACATGGATTAACTTAAGATACCAATATCTTGTATTTTGGATTGCTTCTTTTTATTCCAGCCTGTTGTGCAACTTTAAAAGTTATGTTAATCCAGATATATATATATATAAAAAAAAAATAAACACGCACTATATGGTCTCTCCAGGCCCTTTCACTGTATTAGTCTGAAGAAGAAATAAGGGTGGAGGGGAATCAAGCTGCTGTAGTATTTCTGGTGACTATAGGGTCCCTTTCAGCCCTGAAAACTGCCATCTATTTGCTGTCAAGCCCAATCTGCCTCTCTATCACAGTAAATGCTATCTGTAGTAGTAATGGTAGTCACCCCGAGCAGGGATACATAATATCTTTCAGGATATTTATGGTGTGAGCCATATGCACAGAAGTAGAGATCTTCTGAGATTTTGTTTAGGTGGGCATTTAAACGTGTAATTCCCGGGGGCCGTGATGTGCGCGCCTACACTTGCGGTGATGCTGTGACCCAAAGAGAGATTTGAGGAGATACCTATGAACCACTGCTTGCTTAATTTGCACCGACCTTTCCTTCTTCCCCCGGATAGACGCAGAGGAGATACAACAGAGACACATAGACGGATCCCCTGAATAATAGCAGACTAGATGCGGAGCAATCCGCAATAATATACAGCGTTCCACGTGGAGTACTTCTCGGAAGAGGACAAGGGGGAGAGAAAAGAAAAAGAGGGAGAAAAAAGAGATTAAGCCAAGTCTGCAGAACCTGCGATGAAAGAATTTCGGAAGAAATCTAAAGCCAGATTATTGGAGACGAGCTCTGTGACTGCTTCACTATAACTAGGCTAACGCTAAGTAAAAAGCAAGTCATCTTAAACCCCCTAAGTATTTTTGTTTTTTTCGCTCTTTTTTTCCCTCCATGGATGTAAAGCCATCCTCTAATATTGGAGTGATCAACCTGTCTGTATACCAGAAATAACTGAATACTGGGAATGCTAACACGTAATTATAATAAGGGCGTCAATCAGTTAATATAAGAACCCCTGAATGAGCCGGAGAAGTCCTAAAATACTTGCTTTAAGATCAAAAGCGCAGGAAAAGGGGGTGTCAGCAGGGGAAAATACAAAACACAAGACTAAAAGCAAGGATACAGAAAAAGAAATTGAAGTAAGGGGAAAGACGAAAGGAAAAGCAAAGAGATAAGCAAAAGAAAAGTGTGGATCCAAATTTAAAGCAATAATACAGATATCACTAAAGGCTTATGGGTTTGTGTTTAATTGCTAATCCCCTTAAAAGTAGCAAGCAGTACAAGACTCGGATACAGAGAGAGTTGAGTTTTTTCTTTCTGTGTTTCTTTCCTTATTGTGACAACGTAAGGGTTTTTGCTCCGATCCATTTATTATGGCTTCAAAAAAAGCAACTTTTAAAAAAGGAAAAGAAACAGAAGAATGAGAGAGAGAAGCGGCTATCCTTTTTTACTCCGCCTCATTTACAGAGACAAGATACAGATCAGAAAGAAATGGATATTTCGATATCGGCTGTCAAAGAAGCAGAAATAACGATGCCAAAGATCACATCTACTAAACAGCTTCCCAAGGAGATCATTCAGGATGATTTACGTGAATATGTAGATGCATGCTTTGAACGCCAACTAGATCAAATTAAAAATGAAATTCAAACAGGTCTCACAGAATTCAGAATGGAATTCCTATTGATGGACAAAAAAGTTACGATGAATTAAAAAAAAAAATAGAATCCTTGGTATACCAACAAAAACAAATAAAAGGCTCACAGGAAAGTTCAAAAAAGAAAATAGCAGATTTAGAATTTAAATTAGAAGACAGATCGCGAATTTCAGAAACCATAGCAAATGATAAACTGAATTAATTTTAGATCTATTTCTACAATTGGGCTTTCAATCAACAAATCCCCTAAACTTTTTACAACGGTGTCACAGAGTAATGAAACCATCTACCATTTCGGAAAGTTTGTCAAGAAATGTTCTTATCTGTTGTACATCATATAAAGTAAAAGAACAAGTCTTGAAAGCAGGAAGAGTGATCAGACTCAAGGAACCAGATAATAACAACATCTCTATTTTTTCCTGATCTGTCATATTATACCAGGATGAAAAGAAAGCAATTCTCAACTTACACGAAAATCTTACGAAAAAAGAATATTCGTTACGCCTGGAGATACCCATGTAAGATTATTGTCTCTCATGAGGCGAAGATACACGCATTCTCCGATACATTAGCTCTATCTAAAAGGTTCAAGGAACTGAACTTTGAATTTAGTTACGAGGCACTGAAAAAAAATGGAGAAAAAGATATAAAGACCACAGGATGGGGACCCTTTTTTTTTTTGTTTGTTTTTGTTTTTTTTTTAGGCTTAAGTATCACAATTTTTGAAAGAGGGATATTTCACAAAATCATGCACATTGACAAACTAACACAAGTGATTACTTGGATATATTTCTGGGGTTTTTTTTTTTTTTTGGAGCAAATTTGATTTAAAATATTAGGATAACTGTATAACTCACGAAAATCAGATTTAAAAAAAAAATAAACCAGGAGAATTGAAAAGAATTGCAGATAATCGATATGTTAAGCAATTTTTATACATGTCACATAAGAGCATTGTAAACACTAATCTCTATTTGTGTAAGGGGCAAAATAGCTGTACATGGAGTAAGGTTCAAGTAGGAACTTGGAATAGTATAGAAGAGCAAGTCGGTTGTGGTGTGCTGATACCGACAATACGGTAGGCCTGTAAATAAAGAGGGCAAAAGTGAATAACCAAATATTTAATACAGTCAACAATATATACAATTATCCAGATATAGCTTTAAATGCATTTCTTATTTCTTGTGTTGGTTTGGGTATATATGTGGTATAGGCCGATGACTTCCAACGTCCCAGTGACTTGATTACGTGCACTGGTATGTTGGCGGTGGAGGCTGCTCCTATGCGAAAGGAGTGACCAGAGTAGTGAGAAGGGTTGAGACCTAGCATTGTTAGCAGGGATCGTATATATCTCATGAATGCAGTGGTAGTGAGTACAACGCCTTGTAGTTCAAATAAAGGTTGGGATGGTAGTGATGTGGTATTTAGAAGGTAGGCGTCTAGGGCCGCCACTGGACACCATTTGTTTTGGGTAGGGTAATATGTGATATCCACTGGAGGTGCGTGTTGGCTTGTCTTTGACTGGGGTGATGCGCGTATGTAGTGGTCCATATGTTTGTGAAGGTGCTTGTGTAGCAGGCATCTGTCTGAGTGGTGGTGATAGTAGTGAATTCCCTTGGCCTGAGGAACCCATAGAAGGCTGTGTACATGGCCGTTTTAATGACTGGATTGGTGGTAGAGGGGAATGGTTTGGAATCTAATAGGTCGGATAATGACTGAAAAAGTGTATTGTCTATAGGTAATCTCTGCAGGAGTATATTCTTTACCTGGTAAGATGACTTGAAGCTATGTGTATTAGGTCTTAGGGTTAGCATATGATGTTGTATGCCTGTAAGATATAATTTAATGGTGTTATATGATTGTAATTTAAGATGGCAAAAGGAAGTAAAAGCTATAATAGACGTCATGACAAACGGTTGGGATATGTCGTGATCGGAGAGAAATCTGGTGAATAGTGTGAAGGCTCTGTTGTATGTATTGTGAGTGTTGTATGATAATGCTAATTTCCATAGATTCCTGCTATGTTCCATGATTAATTCTAGTCCATGATTAGTTGTAGGGACGGAGGGGCGGCTGTGGCTGCTTGAGCTGCTGACGGTAGTGCTTGTCGAAAGGCCTGAATGTTGAAACGAGACAGACTGTCAGCTGCTATGTTACTAATACCTGGCACATGAAAGCAGACCAATTAGAAGTTGTGACATGCTGCCACCACGTGAGTTTTCTGAGAAACCTCATGATTGTAAGGGATGTTGAACGGCCTTTGTTGATTAAGTGACATGTGGCTTGGTTATCTGAGTGGCAACGAACTGACAAGCCTGACCATAAATGGGGCATCTTGAAATGTTTAGTAGTAACCAGCAAATTTGTCAAAGATTTTAGGGCTACTTTTTGACCTAAAGGTTAAGCGGGAGAAAAAATATTTATCTGCCCATTTTATGCCATGTAAGTGCCAGAGTGTAGGGTGGATTGGTAGTAAGTTGAAGGCATTTGTAATGTCTGTCTTACTTAACCAAGCTCCGACCCGTTTGCCTGATGGCTGTAATGGCGTGATCTATGGTGGCATATTGTAGGGAAAAATTTTCGGAGGGAATGAGGGAGTTGAGACTTGGGGTAGAAGAGGTATGAGGGGCTGAAAGATCTATGATGAGTCTCTGTTTAAGTGAAGATTTCCCTGTGACAATCCCGATGGGGTTTGTGCGCCATGCTGTAAATGGTGGGGTTGAAAATGGCCCGAACAAGAACCCATCTGCCATTTCTTGTGCTATGAGTGTATTTACTGCCATTAGGTTCTGGTTTGCGGATTGTAAATTCGGGCATTCTAGATGGTCAGTGGGCATATGTATGATGGCTGTATGGAACCCTTATGAAAATCCCGTAATGAGAAACTCTACCAGGTGTCTGGAGGGGTGGTTGGTCAGTAGTGCTGCGAGGACATCATTGTTAACAGACGTTAGGTATGGTTTAGGGTACATTTTATTTGGAAACATGGTTTTTGCATGTGCCCTGAAACATTGTGAACAAATATGCAACAGTCTACATGCACTAATGCTACATGTGCCAACGTTGAAATTATTGCAAATCTGGGATTTGCCAAAGAAAATGATGGGATGACCAAGTTTGTCTCTGGAGGTTTTCCCAGTTCTACCAGCGTAGCTAGTGCTGGGTGCCTGACTGTGATCGTCTGCTGTGCTAGAACAAAAATTTGTGGTGTGTGTAGTAGATGAGCAGGATGCACAAGCCAGTGTTTTAAGACCTGCGAAGTGCCTACAGAATATTTCCTTACCTAATCTGCTCCAGTTGATACGGGTACCATATTGGGAGAGAGCGCCACACACTTTGGTGGAAAATGACCTATGATAGTCGTAAAAAGCCGACCCACCATATTTGTTTCCCAGGTCCACCAGCTTGTGCATGTAACTGTCGAATTCCTCTCTTCTATTAGGGTACACTTCACAAATAACATCTCTAAATATGCCAAAAGCTAAGACAAATTCAGGGTTGGTCAGTTTCCGGTTTAACCTGGAGTCTTTAGATCTGACCACCACAGATGCTTCATCATACATATAAGTCTTATATTCAACCACATCCTGGGAGGCAATTAGTAGGGATGCTAGGTTGACATCTTTGCCCTGCAGGATGTTTCTTTTAATGTGGGCTGGGATCGTGTGTGGAAGATCAACGTCCTGGGTATCTGACGAGTTAACATTACCCGTGGTTCGTTTGGTGCTGGTTGTACTGTGTCGGGAAGGCCTGCCTTGGTGAGGGCTGAGGTGACCGCCTCGAGATTAGCCATTCTGTCGTTGACCTTGCCCATGGAGTTCATGAGCGAGGCCAGCATAGCCTGGATGTCCCCCTGAGTTGGTGTTGCTGAGGCCTTCCCCTGCTTCCGTTTTGTTGGTTGCTGTGCTTAGGAGTTTAAATAACTCCGCTTTCCTTGCTGTAGCAGGGTAGGGAATTTGTCGCCTCCTTAACTTGGTGGTGATGCGCGG